TGCTTATATTTAGGCATAAAAAATTTTAAAAATAAAAATAAAATAAAAAGATTTTTGGCCTAAAATGGATATAATTTAATTTTTGAAATAAACTAATTTAAAGCTTAGTGGCACTACACCACATACTTTTTTTGCAATTGATTTGAAAATCTATAAAGTGTGCTTTGCATTAGTACATTATTACAAATTAAATAATCAATTTTTCATTGTATTTGATTTTTTATTTAAGTTGTAATCAAGCCATGTTGCAAGATAGTTCTAGTTTTAGAAGTGATCAAAAAGTACTTCTTAAATAGCAACTTGATCTTCTTTGCTATCATGAGTTTGAGCATATGACAAGAAATGCGTATAATATTGATATTGGCATAGCTGATTGATGTCATATATTGCTCAAAAAAATTTGAAAAAATTAACTTACAAATTATTGGAATATTTTTAAATTAGATTAATAAAAATTAAATTAGATCAAATTCAATAATATTGGCAAGATAATACATGATACAAATTTCCTTATCAATCTTAAAGAAATAATTTATTGAAAACCTTTAAAGATGAGGTTGAAAACACTTTGTAAATAAAGACTTCTATGTCACAAAGAAATATTGGTTTGATATTTGATAATCAAGAAACTTTGTATTAAAAAAAACTTCTTCTTATATAAACTAATCAAAAAAATAAAAAAATAAAAAAATAAAAAAGATTAAAAGCATTATCAATTTATATCAATTAATGCAAAGTCAAGAATATTCATCAATTTTTTTAATAAATAATTTTTTTATATACATAAATATAATTCAAAAATAATATACTAATTATAAGAAATAAAATACATCTATGTCTTTGCTTTAGTGACATTTATTGTAAAACTATATATAATTAATAGTATTGGAAATTTTAATCACTACAAATTTTTTAATAATAAAATAGTTATTAAAGTAGTTTGTAAATAAATGGAAAAGTTTATAATAATAAATTAAAATCTTGACTTTATTATATTTATTTTAGATTTGCACCAAAATATTATAATTTCAAATGCTACCTTTAATCCTAATAGATAGATATTTATTATTGTCCTCAATAAGGTCAAGAATCACTTCAACTAGTATAGTTTTTTTAGATACATACAACTTGATATAGTTTTATACACATGTGGTAATAAACTTGCATTTGATAATGGTTGCATTGACTTTTTAATTAAGAGAATTTACTAAAATTAAATAAAAAAATCATCACATTTTAGATATAACTCAATTCCAACACAAGTAGACATCTTTTTTGGAACACATTAATTAATGATTCAAAAAATAATAATGAATATTTTGTGCATAAAAAAGTATTTGAAAGTTCATATAATACTCAATTTTATTACCTTTTTTGTATACCTTATGTGCAATTTTGATAGCTTCATGTTTTCTTTTGTATAGTAGCATCATAAATAATGATAAGAATAAGAAAATCTATCTTCCAACTTTTATGACTCATAGTTCTAAAAATACATGGCTATATGTTACAAATATAAATAATATTATTAACTACCTAGGCATGAGAATTTAGTAGAAGTAAAGTAGATTAATAACATAATATCTTATGAAGAAGCTTCTTTAATGCTTTATATATATAGACATATTTTTCAACAATCAAAACTTTTAACTAATGTCATTGTGATATAAAGAATAAAATACCTAAAAGATATATATAATTAACTAAAATGCTTTATTCCAAATCAAAACCATTGTAAATAATTATGCTACAAATATATAGGTTTCATGGCTAATACAATTCGAGCAAAATAATTAAATGTGACAAATTTTAAAGTTAGAAATAACTTCAATGAGAACATATGGCTACAATTAGTTTATTTCTAGTTCAAATAATACTTATGTGTCTAATAACAAAAACACTAAATTTAATATCACAAAATAAATTTGAATCCAAGAATCATAGATTGTATTAGAATCAACTTCAATATATTTAAAACAAGGCTATAAGTTTCAATTAAATAATATTATACAAAATACATTATATATTAACAAATAGAATATAAATCTCTATCAACAATATCAAATAGATACTTATATTACATAAAAATATAAAATATTAACTACAATCAAAGATCTCAGAGGTATACTTAATCTATTTTGATGCAAAATCTAAATTTTTACTATACGTGAATCTACTACAATTACACATCAAAACTATGGTTAATTTGGCTTTAAAATAATAGATGTTGACCATTGTAAGATATCAATATCAAATTTATAAAATAAAACACCATAAAATAGTATTTTATTTTTCACATATGTTATTTAATCAAGTTAACTATAATATAATTAATTTGATATAAAATAATCTAATTTTTTAAATAAAAATTATATCATGATTTTGAGAAGTATTTGGTGGTAATTTTTTATTTATTAATCATACATAATACTATGTATGTTTATATATATGGAAAAAGAGAAGAAAAACGAAAGTAGAATATTAAATAGATTCATTATTTTACTAAATCAATCCATTTTATTATAAATAATATTAAAAAAATGAATCATCTCCAAAAACCATCATTACAATCAAGGTAAAAATTCCCACCTTCTGGTCCTCAACTTCG